GGGTGCGAATTCACACCCACAAACATTTATTTACTCATGAAATGTTTTCGCCGTCCATCTCCCCCTAAGTGGCTCCGGGGTGTTTACAACACATTTACAACATGCTCCCCCACATTCGAAAGGCAGGCAGGCAGCTTAGGAAAGCTGTTGAAAAATAGGTCTCCCTAGCAAGCGAGCCAAGCTGCAAACTGCTCAGAGGCGCCTTCCGCCATGCCGTTGGTTCTGGGACTGGCGGTTCCAGGTGATTGTGGGGAAGCCAAATATGGTGCGTGTCTTTTCCATACGTCCTCACTCGTTCCTTTTCATTCTTGTTCCCCTCCAGACAACAACGAGTGCACCGCGCAGCCGACACTATGCGGGTCGAAAGGACACTGCCTGAACACCCCCGGCAGCTACAACTGCGAATGCCAGAAGGGTTTTGTCCTGGATAACGCCGGAAGCAGTTGCGAAGGTGTGTGTCCCACCCCCGCACACTTGTGCGAGCGTCGGAAGGGGGTAGGGTGGAACACGGGTATCCGGGATCAGAGTGTCAGGGTTCCAACTAGCATCCAGAATTAAATCAGAATCCGAGGCAAAGGATTCCTCAAAGTTCCAATTGATGAAGGGAAAACCCAAATCCGAAAGCTTCCCAGTTTCCCCCACCCATTTGAAAGTTCAAGATCTTCCCCCCACACACACACACCCACAAGTTCCACCCCATGGTCCCATCTCCCCCTGCCACGCTGGCAGCTTCCACCCATCCAGTTCTGGTCAGGTGCAGAGGTGCAGAGACAAAGGATGACCTTGGATTTCTAGAAAGAATGTTGTTATGGCTACCTAGCATCTAACTCCTCACAATCCCATCTTCCCACCATAGAAAATGCACAGTGGGATACTAGAAAGTGTGTCAGGCCAAAGATCCAAAAGAAAAGATGGTTGCACCTACATTATTGCATTACATGGCCCTTCTAGTGTTTAGTCGCGTGAAAAACACAATTTTATTGTTGCTCTTGGGAGGTGGGATTGCGCTGCACCATTCCTGTTCCTCCTGCCTCTTCCCCCTTTCGTGTGTTGCAGCCGCTCCAGACCAGCCTTTTGGGCTACTACCTGGTGCAGTTCTCCTTCTACTGCTCCTTGCTCATCTCGCTGCCTTTTGACGTCAAACGGATGGTAGGTGATTTCCGACGGAAGAGACACGGTTGGTCAGGAAACCCCGGTTCAGATCCAAGAGGAACATGGTTCCACCTTTTGGGTTGTTTCCCACCCACCCCCCACCCCGCGAAGCATTTATGTCTTATGTTCAACACTTGTCCCCATCTCATCAAGAAGAACTCGGGCCGGCTATTTTTAAAACCACGCAATCAATCGATCAAAAAGTGCAAAAAATGTGAATGCTGATTTGGCATCTCTACAGACGCAATGCATCTATCTATTACGAAAACCTTGCTATAATCTTTAAGTAGGCAAAAGAATGCACTGTAGGGGCAGCCATGTTTTACCCAGGGTACCTCAAAATGAGTGAACTTACAGAATGTGTCCCAAATCAGGGACCTGGGACTAACGAGGGAATGAAATTGGGGAAACTTGTGTCTGCTTCAGTGCTACTGGCTGCTGCGGACACACGAACTTCATTTGCAAGGTTCTGTGACAGTTTCCCAGCCAGTCTTGCAATCCCCTTGCTACCTCCCCGATTCAGCAGCTGCTGCTGCTGCTTATCTGCCTGTTAGGAAGGGAAGAGGAGGGAAGAGATGAGGGGAAGGGATGGGAAGAAGGCAAGAGAAGGGGGGAGAGGAGGGATGAGAATAAATGAAGGGGATATGAGGGGAAGAGAGGAAGGGGAGGGATGAAGGGAAGGGATAGGAAGAAGAGGAGGGGAGGGATAGCAATAGCAATAGACTTATATACCGCTTCATAGGGCTTTCAGCCCTCTCTAAGCGGTTTACAGAGAGTCAGCATATTGCCCCCAACAATCTGGGTCCTCATTTTACCCACCTCGGA